TTTTAGAGTATCAGGCCAGCCATTAACTCAACTCCAGTTACTCATTCTGTGTGCTCTGAAGTAATTGCTTGTTTGCAGTCATAGAAACAAGTACGGCCTCCCCGAACGAGTCCCCGTAACAGAGCGCCCATTGTTGAAACACTTTATTACACTGATCAACCAGTATTTTGCTGCTGGGAGTCAACTGTATCACTCACAACTCATTTTCATCACCTGTTTTTTCTTTTGTTTTATTTTTTTCCCCAGTTATGACATGCCAACTGTTGGACAACTTAGGATGGCTGGACAGAAACAGTGATGCCTTCAGCATTCAAGAAATAAGTCTGGTCTCAAGGAAAGTGACGCCAAGTATAGGTAAGGTTGGTCCTGAATCAGCAGCAATGGGAAGCATTAACACAGGTTATCCAGAATTTTGTTGGCAATCACAGAGCAGAGAATTATGCTGAGCTTGTGGATATATCAGCTCATGAGTGCCAGAATGACACTGAAGACGCACTTACCTCAAGTGTTTTTCCACCAAATCTTGAAGATGTTAGCAGGCAGGACAGATTTGATGTAAGATAGAAAAGTGAACTGATATCAGGGAAATTTTGATCCAGGCGTAATTGTGGACTACTGTTGGTTCTTGCGAAAGACAGATGGCTGTGCAGCACAAGCACAAAAGCAAGCATCTAAAAACAGTTTCGAGCATGCTGATCCCTGTGTGTTTTCAGAATGAACAGATTAAAACAATTTTTGTTAGAAATAATTACAATTAAAATGTAATTACAGTTAAAATTCCTGTCATTGCGTCGATTTATTATACTGATATTCAAAACTGTCAAAACGTCAGTGATAACAAAAACCTGACACGCAAATTAAATTAGATTTCATATCTGAACTCGCTGTAAAAAAACTTGATAAATAGCTGAAGTTCACAGTTCAATCAAATTAGTAATCGGTTGAGTCCAGCTCCTGACAATTTAAATGCCAGAGCTCAGATCTGCTGTTCTTTTCCACCTGCACTTTTTAAATCCACATTAAGATGCCAACTGGAGTTCAGTTGACGGGCTGAAACTGTTCGCGTCATTAGCTCCAGCTCCAAAGCCAAAATGCAAACGATGGGTTTTTTTCCCTTTGTGTGTCTGTGTGTTTTTGTGCACAAATTTCTACCCTTTTACTATGTCTCAATAAGGTGTATCCTTGTGTTAATCAATACAGCGTGTTTATACTGCATATTACTCCTAGCTGAGGAGTGTGCACCACTTCAACTTGCAGTTACACTTCTGTGAAGGTGCATATCAAGCTACAGTGTAGGGTACAGAGCTGCACTGTAGCCTGCGCCTTAGACCAGCGGTCCCCAACCTTTTTTGCGCCACGGACCGGTTTATGCCCGACATTATTTTCACAGACCGGCCTTTAAGGTGTCGTGGATAAATACACCAAAATAAAACTAGTACCGGTACCGAAAAAAGAAGATTTATTCATAACACACATGAAAAGACCAAGGAAAACCGAGTTAACGATAAAAACGATAACAAAATAACGCTGAAAACCGATAAAAACCCTGAAAACCATACATTTCAGACCTGAGCCTCAACTCTCGCAGTACCAAACGACTCACAGACCGGTACGGGTCCGAGGCCCGGGAATTGGGGACCGCTGCCTTAGACTACACACAATCTCACACATCCTTGAATCAAACATTAAAGTTCTTAGGAGAAACAATGCGTAGCTGTTTTTAGCAGAAAGCTCTGACAAGCACGCTAGTGTCAAAGTACCTAAATGATAAACAGAAAACACAGGTGGGATTTATCTTTAGAGCAAGATTGTTCTTTCTGGAAAGGACCATAAATGGTGCTTAAAGAGAGTTGACGTCAGAGTTACAACCATGAAGTGAATGCAAAAGTCCAAGTCAGAGCAAGTGTCAGTTGCTGGATGTGTACACAGT